ACAGTAGAGTGGCATAATTGAATGTAAAACTAAAATTTAGTGCTATGATTGATAAAATTGAAAGTTCAGTGGTATAAACGAGTTAGTTAGCAAACTTTAGTGGCATCTAAAGTAGTTTTCCCTAATATATATATAACACTTCTTTAATCCTAGTAGTTTCATTTTTATTAGCAGTTTTATTTTTTAATACTTAATTGAACATTTACAAAATATTTTTAGGGTTTAAGGTTATTTTTTATAATATTAATATTATTTAGAACTTAAACCTATATAATCATGTAATAAAAATTGTTCAGCTGAACATGAAATGAAGATTTAAAATATAATTATATTTTAACAGATATTACCTTATACTTACACTATATTTATCAATATATATATATATATATATATAATTATATTGTGGCTTTCAAATATTTACAGATAATTAGACTTTCTAATAATTATAATCTCCTATATAATCTTTTATATAATTACAATGTAATGTCCAAACGAACCCTACGATCTATCTTTATGCAATATTTAAAAGTAAAACCAATAAATAATATTTAATCACATTTATGAAATTAAAAATATTTTAAGCATTATAATCCATTCAAAAATAAAAACGTTTGAAGTTTTTTTTGATTAAGAATAGAAAATTTTCATTTAAGATTAGGCTTATCATGTATAAGTATGGTCTATGACATGTCACAAGATCTAATTATTTGAGGGGTTCATATATGAATGTCATTCGAATTCATCTATGTACAAATTTTGTACCCAAATAATTTTTCATTCGAAGGAAAAATAAACTTTCCATTTGGTTTTAAGAAAAGTGATAGAAAAAATTGTAAACGAAAATTTTGATAGTATATGTCTCATAATTTTAAATTTAACAAATTAATTATTATTATAAAATATTTTTAAGAATCTCATTTTAAAAAATAAAACAAGATCTGTACATTTTTTCGGAACGGACCTGTTCAAGATAAATACGTGTGAAGTTTTCTTTTAATGAAGTTTAAATTCCTTGCATCATGGTCCAGCTCAATGTAAATCATTCTATATATATCACAATATCTTGGGGTTTATTTCTATTTATTTATTTATTTATTTATTTATTTTAGGTTAATATATAATTTTGGAAAGTAAAAGTTAATTAATGCAATAATTTAATGAAACTCCTTTTGCCTTTTGTGCAGGGTACTTTAAAAGCATTGAATTAATCCGGCTCATAATATATATGAAATTAAAAATAACTAAATAAAGTTTAGAAAATTAAATAAGAGAATACGAAACTTTGATTAAAATTTACTTAGAATACGGAACTCCTAATTTTACATTTTAATCTTAAAATTTAAGAATGAAGTAAATTAAGTTGGAATGATCGTTGTCACTTGTATAATATTCGATCTGAATTAGTTAATCAATAGATCGAATATAAATGATTAAACCAATAAATTGTTTTTATGACCAAGCAAATATGATTTGAAATTTTTTTAAATTTATTCATAATTAAATTTAAAAAAAAACTTTTAATTAATACAATAAAATTATCCTCACGTGCTTTCCACATACCTACTATTAAAAGTTGGTGAAAATGTCAATAATAATCATTAAACACTCGTTAAATATCAATAATCAATTTATTTATACATTATATTCCTTAAATAAGATCAACAGTTTTAATATTAATGTTGTAAATAGAATAAACCGAGTTGAGATGGTAGTCTTCGTAATGAACCTCTATAACATCTGATTCGAATTAGTTGATAAATACATCATATATTGATAATTAATTAAAAAATCAATTATAATTATTTATATAAAAAAAGTTACAATTAATATTTTATTTTAAAAATAGTAAATTCTTTTTTGTAATTAATTATACATTAAGTGCCTTTGGATAAGGGAAAGGTTGCTATAACTATGGTTAATTAATGAAGTGAAATTGTGGAAAACAAGATTGGTCCTCCACTTATTTCGTGTATGTATTGTATCAACTCATGCAACTTCAGTATATTGAACCTTAATTCAATTTATATAGTTGTGTGTAATTAATTTTTCCCTTCCTATTCTAAGGTTTTGCTTTAACTAGTATGAACCGACTCGCATCACACACCTGATTTTGGTGGATGAGTTTTTCAGTAGAGATTTTTTGGAAACATAATGACTCGAACTCGATACATTGCTTAAGAGATATCAAGTTGCTTACCACTTAAACCACCCCATGTTGGTTTTTGTGTAATTATTTTAAGATAATAAATTTGAACATGTATTTTACGATAGTATTTCAAAAAAAATTTGAACGTATTGATAACACATATACATCCCACAGATATAGCTACTTGAACCCATAACATCTAAACAAAACATCATTTCCTTTTACTATTGACAAAACTTAATGAATTCAAATTTGAAAGTATTCATTACTCTACAATAATTTTATTTTTTTTAACTTTTTACATGATTAATTTTTAATAAATTATTCAATTTAACAATATACTTAACTTATCATGCATATAATTTGTTTCTGATATTCCTATATCGATCCATGATACTTTATTTGTAATATATATTTACTTATCAGTTAATCTATTTAATGAAATTAGCCGTCGAATTGAAAAGCTTTACGTAGAAAAATATTGAATTCAAAATAATCCGACTCAAACCGATCCAAACTCCTCCATATGATTCAGTTAATTTACTTTTATAATATTAGTAGGTCCAATATGGTAACATTATTAGTTGTTATCATTTAAATAAAGGTAACATATATTAAATATTATTAAACTAAAATGATTGTCTTAATCACTAAAATTTTAAAAATTATAAAATGACCATTACATTTATCAAAATCTTACACTTATAACATGATTCAGTTAATTTATTTTTATAATATTATTAGTAGGTCCAATACGATAACACGGTTAGTTGTTATCATTTAAGTAAGGGTAAAATACATCATATATCATTAAACTATGCTCAAATGATTATTTTTAGCCACTGGACTTTTAAAACTTACCAAATGATCATTAAGTTTATCAGAATCTTACACTTATTATAGCGTTACAATGATAATTTTGTAACAATTCGATAAATTTAATGTCCATTTTAGAATATTTAAAAGTTCGGTGATTAAAACGATCATTTAAGTATAATTTTTAACATCTAGTATACTTTATCCTCGTGATTTTTTTTGTCCTTTCGACTTTGAATAGTTAATTGTTGGCTTATAATTAAAGATGATGAAGTTTGAATGGAAGAGAAGACAAGAGAAAGAGCAATATTGAGAGGCATATACGATGGAACAGGGAATGGTTGTTTGTTAGTTGCTTGCATGCAAGTTGAAGACGACGTAGTAGAGCCATGCCCACACAGCCGCCTAAACATCATTAATTATACCAATGAGCAACCCTATGCAATTACAACGTTTCATTGATTTTTAATTTATATTTTATAAATTATTTATAAAATTAATATCTCATATACTAAATATATATAATTTTACACGTCATCTGTGAATTAGATAGTTACATTGTTATAAATAAAATAAAGTAAATTTAGGTTGAGACAATATAGGTCCGAATCTTGATGTTGTGAATTGAGTAAATTATATTGAGATGATCGCCCCTATAATAGACATCTGTAGTATCCAATCTAATTAATTGATCAATAAATTAGATATCGGTAATTAAACAAAAAAAATAGTTCAATAATTAACATATAAGGGTTAACTTTTCAAATTTTGTAAAATACAAGGATGAAATTCAGGATTTGATAATTAAAATAAAAAGAAAAAGAATAGAAAACGATTTCCATGGGCCGATAAAAATTAAAAAAAAAAAGATAAAACACGCAGAAAAAAATGTCTAAAGGTCAAGCTTCAAAGGCCTATTTGCTACAATAATAATTATAATTTAGTCCACTAATTAATGAGTTAATTTGTGTAGTTAAACCAAAGCAAGTTCCTATTGGGGGGATACCCCTTTTGCTACTTCCATTTTCAAAGACCAATCTCCATCTATAAAACCCCCCACTTTGAGCCATCTTCCCTTGATTAAATCCATCTCTCCTTCCGTCTCTTCCTCTTCATCTCCAAAGATATTTTTCTTATATATATATATATATTCTCAGAGACTCCATTAAAGGGTAAATAATGGATGTTAAAGCAAAGGGTAACGTGCAAAGTGATCAAGACGATTATCAGATGGAGCTGAGACGAGGTCCTTGGACTGTTGAAGAGGACTTAAAGCTTGTCAATTACATTGCTACTCATGGTGAAGGTCGATGGAATTCTCTTGCTCATGACGCAGGTAATACATAAATGTTTTTCATCTTCATGTAATGGACTTAATGGAGTAGAGAGCTTATTGTTTTCCATGGCATAAAACAGTACAGAAGTGCCAACTTCATGTTTACCTTTGAGTTTCCGATGAGAAAAAAAAACCTTGTGTTCTTTATTCTTTCTTTCGTCTGGGTTAATTCCGTCATATATCCTTGAACTATTGTTCAGATTTTAAATTGGTCCCAAGCTTCAAAGTGTTTTGATTGAATTCTCAAAGCATGATTAGTATCCTATATAGGGCGAGGCATGATTTTGTACTAGGGATGTGAACTTTCAGAAAGTATATTATAAAATTAGAGGGTGCAAAATTATAAAATTCCAGGATGTGAAATTAGATGACTAAATAAAATAGAAAGGAGATATCTAAATAGTATGAAAATTTGATATTTTCAGGGTTTAGGGGTTAAATCAAATCATTCTTTCATCCTCACTAATCACTATTAGTTTTGAGGTTAAATGTTGGCTCAAATCCGACAAGAAGTATATTTACATCACGTTGATTGGATTGTAAACACGTATGTACACTACTATTATATAAACAGCTTGGAGGTTAAATATAAACTTGGATTTATCGTCCAAATTAATAATAAAGTTGATAGAAGGATTTAATTGATACGATATTGATATAATGATGATTAAATTTGAATGTTGTGCATTTTAGAGATTAATTTAGAATCTTAACAATAGTTTGAGGACTTATTGCAATTAATTCTAATTAATTATTACCAACTTGAAAAAGTAAAAGCTGCATGTTCCATGGAGAGAAAAAAAGCAAGACAATTTGTGGCTTTGAGTGTGAGGTTCATGATGTTCGTATAATCATCAAAGTTTTCAAGCAAAAAGCAACAGCTAATATCTAGCACTTGTTCTCCAACATATACATACAAACACACATACAAGCATGCATACATACATATATGTATGTGTATAACTTTACCAAAGCTTATGGTAAATAGAATTCCAACGACACATATAGGTCTCAAACGGACCGGGAAAAGCTGCAGATTGAGATGGTTAAATTATCTTCGTCCCGACGTTCGACGCGGAAACATCACTCTCGAAGAACAGCTTTTGATTCTCGAACTTCATTCTCAGTGGGGAAACCGGTAATCTTTTAACTCGTACTCGAACTCAAATTCGAACCGCGATTTATGGTATCATATGACAACTCTGTGACTTCGAGTGTACGACCGTGTCTATATGTAACGATTTTTGTTGAAACGATTGCAGATGGTCGAAGATTGCTCAACACTTGCCCGGAAGAACTGATAATGAGATCAAAAACTATTGGAGAACTCGTGTCCAAAAACATGCGAAGCAACTTAAATGTGACGTGAACAGCAAGCAATTCAAGGACACTATGCGTTATCTATGGATGCCGAGGTTAGTCGAAAGAATCCAATCTTCCGTCGCCACTTTCACGACCACCGCCGCAGCCTCCGCCACTGCAGGACAAGTCGTTATGCCTCAGGGGTTCGGGGGCGAACAAATAACCCTAAGTTACACCACCACTGAAAATTCCAGCACCGCAGCCTCGTCGGAGACTCACGTTTCGCCGGTTTCAGATTTGTCCGATTATTATGTTAACGTCCCGGTTAACGACAACCCGAATCCAGACTACTTTCAAGCTAGTCAGATTGGTTTCTCTCATCAATACTCATCTTTTATAAGTCCCACTTCTAATTACTACAACCATGGCATGGATTTCCAGCCATGGCTAGATGGAGCTGATATTTCATCGGATAATTTCTTGAACTCTGATGATTTTTTGTTCTTACAGCAGCAGTTCAACTTCAACATGTGAAAATATCAATCAAATAACTGGTGATAAAATGGAAGATGATCTATATATATATATATAGTGAGAAATGAAGTAAATTTTTGAAAATTTGAGAATAATATCTTAGGAATAAACATTATAGGATTTGATTTTGTATCACTTTAGTTTGTACTTTTGTTCCTTTGTCTTTGAATTTTTTTTGGGTGGGGAAACTTGTAATTCAAGACTTCCGTCGTTAATCAATCACATTCATTAATATTATTAGCTAAGGAATAAGTCAAAATTAGTTCTCAACGTTTATTAAATTAGTCATTTTAACTCTATTCTTTTTTTTATAATATTATGACCCCAACATTTTATTTTAGAGCAAAAAGATCCCTCTATGAATAAAAAGTATTAATTAATATACGATTAATACTCCAAAATATGATTTTTTAACTTAAAATGAAATATTAAGATATTATAATTTAACCTTATAAAATCGAATTATACATCTTCCTTCCCAAAACACAATACAAATACAATTTCTTTTGTAACCTAATCTTATAAAATCAGATTATATCAAAATCTATTAAATTCGAATAAAATAATCATCTCATTCCAACCCGACCTTGAAGAGCAATAATTACAATAATTAGAATGTAGATATTATAATAATAAATATTATTTCTTCTTGAGAGCATGTAGTTGTCCATGGGGCATGAACCACGTAAGCTTCTTCTAGATTTCATTACAAAAAAAAGGTATTTAAACCCTTTATTAATTAAACTTAATCACCATTAATGGATTAAATAAATTAATTAATTCAAAGGTTTAGGAGACTTGTTGCGGTGGGATTCATGAGTTCACGCGTTGAGTTGGTCATTAATAGACTTTTGATTTTCGTACAAACCAAACACATTAAAGTGAAAAGAGAAGACTGCAGATTCCGTTAACTAGTTACGTTTCTGTTTGGTTTATGGTTTGTTTTTCTTAGTCCGGACAAAGTGTTTTGCTTCATCCCGTTTAACAGACAATGCTTTCACACTCATCTACATTTAAAGTAATTCATTATCATATTTTATGGCTTATTTCATCAGACGGTCCACAAATTATGTGATCCTTAAAGTATTAGTACCATGTTAATTAAATCTTTTTTATAGACTAGGCATCACCTTAGACGCTAAATGTTAACTTAAATCTAAGTTAAAATGTATTTAAAATGTACTGATCACAATTCATTAAGTGATCTCAATTGTAAAAGGAAGTTTTGTTATCTTTAGAGGTCCTGAATTGGAGCAACAACATATGCAAAGTATGTGTTGTTAATGGTTAAGAAAGATTCTGAACAGATAATATCTTATAATCATCTCAAACTATTAAAAAAATGCATTGACCAAAATTTAGATATATTGTGTCTATGTTGATTGAACCACGAGTGAAGTAGCAAAGAGTTTGCTATCAAAACTTATGTTGACACTAATACAGAGTCTGATCTCAAGACAACTCTTTTCATTATTTCCTCTTACAATAAATGTTTAAGTATTATATGGACAATTTAAGTCTGACGTGATAAAAAAAAAGTCCTCCCAAGTTTTAGTGATATTGTCTTTTGTTTTTAACATGTTAAACGAAAATTATCCGTATAATAAGTATACACATGTTTAAAATTTGATTTAAATATTTTAAATATAAAAAAGTTTTATTAGGCCATGTATTACATGTTAGTTATAAATTTTAAAATTTAGTCATGACTTAAACAATACTCGTTGAATTTGTTAAGTGAAATTATGATATTAGTTCAATTATTATGTGCAACTTATAGATTTTATCTAAAACTGATCAAATTAGAATACGGAAACAAAATGCACAATGTTTATATAGTACGAGGACTAATTGTAAATTTAATCATTATTTAATAAATTAATTTTCTGAAAACGGAAGTGGCTCGTGAGAGGATAAAAGAGAAAGTGAAGCACGTGATGAATAATGTGGGAGAGAGGTGGCGGCCGGGAATCTTTGTAGGAACACGTGGCGACGGGAGAAGCCCACCGATGTGGTCCCAATGAGCTTCGGTGTTAGAATGTTGCCACGTGTTTTTAAAGAAAATAAAATAATAGTTAGTGGCACGTTAAATAAATAAAATAGAATAAACCACTTATTATTGCAGCCGCAACTCTTGAAACAGTAAGTCATAACTCCACGTCAGACTTCCCTTACCTTATTATTATTATTATTATTATTTCTGTTAAATTATTGTGAAATTAATTGGTGAAGAACAAAACAATATTGCTTAGAGGTGATGATACAACCAGTTCCTTTAAAATGATTATCATTAAAATACAACAAACAAAGCCAGTAGCGGAACATAAGGTGGATTAGTAGAAGCCATGGTCCTTTCAAAATTTTAAAAAATTATAATTTAGACTTTTAAAAATTTTAACAAATTTAATTTGATTCCTTTAAAATTTTTAAAAATTTAAATTAAACTTTAATTTTTTTTGAATGTTTCCATAATTTTTAAAGCCTCTCAAAATTTCATTTAAAAAAATGTAAATTAAACCCATCAAAAATTTAATTTAAACTTCTGAATTTTATAAATTTTTAAGTTGACCTCTCACACTCTATTATAAAATTTTGCCATTGAACTAAGCAATGAATTAGTAGGGTTGTATTATTTGTTTTGTAGGTTGCATAAAGATAACTATATTAACAACATTTAATTTTATTTATTATACTTAAATAAATGATTATGTATTATAAAAAATTTAAAGTATTTCGGTGATTGATTTTTTTTATTCTGGCTACTCAACTTGTCGATAGAAGTACTTGAGCTTGAAGCAGAAAGTTAAGTAGCCAAAGAAGTATGAGATTATTTCATGGTATTCATAAATTGAGTAAACCTATCGACCATGCTTTGGAAGTGTATATCACTTGAGCTGGATCCAATCGAAATAAAGAAATATTAAATTTTTATTATAAATTTCAATATCAATTTCAAAATAATAACACCAAAATAATTTTAATAGTGAAAACGATAATATCTAATTATTTTCAATCAAGAATAAATGACCTTTTATGCATTAAAATAGTCTTTTATTACCCCAATTGAAATAAAGAGATATTAATATTTTGTCTTAAAATTACATAATAATCAGAATGAAAACAATAATATCTAATGATTTTCAACCGAGAATAAATAACCTCTCGTACCTTAAAGCAGTAATTTATTACTCGGACCGAAATGAAAAGATAATACTATTCTCAATGTCGATTCGAATGTTATTGTTTTGGAAATCTATCGGAAAACACATGCAAAAATAAAACAAATAAAAAGCATAACAAACCAGGAATTGATTATTTCCTTTATCGATATTTAATGGGAATATGAATGTTCAATTATTTAAATATCTCGAGACGAGACCTTAGATTCGGATCTAACAGTCTTTTCTCGATGAATTTAATTAAAAGAACATTATCTTTTTCTCAATCCCCGAGTTTTAAAAATAAAATCGATTTAATTCGTGTCACTAAATAGAATAAACTTACATTTTAAAATTATCGAAAGTAACTTTCTTATACGTTAAGACAGTCACTTTACGACAATATTAAAATAATCAATATTACCTTTAGTCAATTTATTTTGAATCAAGTCGAGTTATGCCTACGAGGCTAAACTTAACAAGAGGAGTCGAGAGAGTATTCTAATTATTTGATGAGCCCGAAGGATGTCGTTGGTTCAGAATAGTTTGTTCCTCTTGATTAGTAGATGAATTGGTAAATAACTCGAGATCATTGGATCGTAAGGTCTCATTTGCCATCTTGAAAAGTTGAACGAAAGAAATAGATTTCATTATTAGTTGTAAGTCACATTTATTGAATCAATTGTATTTGAAGATCAAAAATAGTTCATCGCATCAATTGTTGATGGGAACACGTGAATTGTGTTGATCGTTAACAATTAACTCTTTCTAGTTTGGATAGAGAGTCATAGCCGGTACTAAGATGGTTGTTAGCCAATAATACTCTTGTGAGAGAGACAAGGAGAACAATGGAGGATAAGAGAGAGAGAGAGTGTGTGAGAGAGATCCCTATTCCATTCTTTTCTTCGGGTATAAATACCTCAATTGTAGGGCGATTGGTGTCAAGTTTAAGATCATCTTGCCTGTTACTAGTTGATAGACTGTGCATACATGATTGTCAACTATAAATTTGACTTTATTAAAGATCACGTGAAAGACTAAATAATATATTCTCTAAATAGCGATTTCAATGATGTAATCTATACCCGAAAGATGTTATGGTGTCTCTATACTTTTATTTTTTTTGGTTTGAATAACAAGACTTCCACCCATAAGTGAGGTTAATACAAACGTTTTTTTTATTAAATATGATTTAAGAAAATTTGGTATTGTTTTAGTCCGAGTTAAATTTATACTTTTAGGTGGTGTTTGTTTTTGCCGAGGTAAAAGGTTTGAAGTCTACGGACCATATCTGCAAGCATCTGCAGCAGAAGAGGTGGACCAAAAGTCTGCAGTCTACAAGAAGAAGACTGCTTGTTTTTTAACGTCTGTAGACTGCTAAAATAAACTGAAATATAAATAAACTGATTTTTTAAACTTAAAAGAGTTTTGCAATATTGAGATTTAAATAATTTTAGTTTTACAATACTGAAATTTAAATAATTCATACAACTACAATAATAGATTTTTTAGAAAAACAAACACTACCTTATTAATTCTATTATAAGTCTCACATAATCACATCTATTATTACTTTTATAAGTTTTATAGAATAAAATTTATAAATGATCATTAAATTATATGATTTTTTTTAAATATGCAATTATGTAATACTTTTAATTTTTTTAAATATATATTCATAATTTATTTTTATAATTATATGATATTTTTAGAAAATATTTTTTTTATTTATCAAATTATTTTATGATATTTTTTATTTAATTGTGATTATATTTTAAAATTTTAAAAACATAATTTATATTTTTTTATATTTTAAAATCTTAATTATCAAACAATGAAATCATTTTTATTAAGCAATGTGGTTTAAATACTTACATTTTGTATAAAATTTTTAAATATAATTTAAAAATAACTAATCCA